ATTACATATACCTAACTAATAGGGTTGCCAACTCCCAGCACAAAAAGAAAAGAAAAAAATAGGGAACCACTCCCCCACCCTCTGCCTCAAGATGCTCAACTGACAAAACAGATTTTAATTTAATGCATGTATAAAACAAATGCACAGAAATCTATTATTTTTCTCCAGTAATTAAATAGATTTAACATCTTTCTTCAACAGAATTGCAGACTGCACAGATGGTACCTTCCCAAAGGAAAGAATACTAGCACTTACTAGGGTATATACTAGACTTAATATTTACTGAATACAATAATGGATTTCTATACATTATACATCAGATGAAAACTTTGGTTGTAAGATTCAGATAATTATTTATTAAAAGCTAGACATTTTAAATGAGAATAAGAAAGAAAGGTATTTCTTTGTGCAGCCATATGGCCTATGGTTGCCTGCTCATCCCAGCTGGTTAAACCAGTGCCCTACTTTTAAACACCTTTAAACTAATATTTTCTTGGATTTAGTCCAAAAGGGTCCAAAGTTCTGTTGTTTTATTTTATTTCTGTTTTGTTTTCTAAAATAACATAAATTTACTCCAGCAGGATGTACACAGGCAGATGAGTGACAGAGCGGTGGTTGTAAGCACACTTTCCTGTGGAGGTTATTATTTATTCAGGTGTGTAACTTAGGAGATAACCCACTGAAAGACAAACTGTCATTGTATGATATGTTGAAACCTCCCTTTGTCAATTAAAGATAATCCTCAGAGTTTACACAAGACAATTTGTTGTGTGTGCTCTGCTTTCTTATTGGCAGGATTTCATTAGGAGCCACTAATGATGCAGTTCTCTTTGAATACATGTCAATGAAGCTAGACAGCTAAAATAATGACGTGCTTCTTATGCTTCTGCGATTTAAGAACATTATATATATATATTTTTTTTTTTCTCACTACAGCTATGGGACCCAGTTCACTGTTGATGATGTTGATGACCCTATGAGACCTGAAGTTTCTCTATGTGAGTTTCTAATACACTTTTTTATTATGTTTCTAATTTCTAGCTATCAGTTGGAAATTACTTACAGTCATGGAGATTATTGTGTAGAATACCATTAGTATTATGTTTATGTTTTAGGAGGTAAATCAGCTTTACTGTAAGAAAAACTAAATATTTTTTTAAAGATCATTTACATTGTTTAGTTTTTTTT